AAAAGATGAGAAAATATAAAGACGGTAAAGAAATCATGATTAAAGAGCTAGAAAATTGTTTAAATGCCACGACTAAAGAACTTAAAAAGACATCAGTAGATAAATTGTTGACAGTCTCACGCTATGTAAAATCAACGAAAGAATCTATTAAGGATAAATTAGCCAGTGCCGTCAGTGTGCCTCGTTTAAGATTATGTAAATATCTGACAGGCCAACCAGATGAATTCGCTTTATCATGGGATATGGGGGGTTTGGTCTATATAAATGAAGTATGGGCTAATGTAAAGAATAGAAGTATTGGAAGATTATTGAACTTCCATATAAGGCATTACCTTGACGAACCAAGTAAAAGTATAAATTTTAAGGAAGCTATTGTAAAGGTATTTGTACCGTTAATAATATTTCTGTTTCTTATGGTTTTGCTTTGATTTTCATCCTTTTGATTGCTGAAAAAATGCATGAAATGCAAGTACTTCATTATATGGTACTATCCATGGACCCCACTCGCTATACCGAAAAGTTTTGATATAGTAAAAGTCAGATATTTAGTAATGAGTACAAGTTTGAATTATTTGGAAACTAATTAACATCCCAAAAATATAATATAAACAAAAATGACTGTCCCCGAGACGATGTAAATCCCAATAGTATTTTCTTTTACGGACAAAACGTCTGCCAACCGGTTTCACAGGGTATTGGGAAAGCCTTCTTATAACTATGTATAAGATGACTGACCTTTATAAGTTCAAATGTCTTCTATATATGACGTCATATCACACGGCGTCGATCATTGGTTCGATAGCGCGTGGATGGTTTACATCACGTGAACTGGTCCGGGCAGAATGATGCCTTTTACTCATTTTATATACCCATTTATAGTAAATAGCAAATATTTTTATCCAGATGCACTTCAAACATCTTTATTTATTTTTCTAATACTTTAAAGAAACTGTTTTAGAATTTAATTTGCAGAAAGAACACGGTTAATATTGTGAGCTCGCGGCCTGGCGAATATTCACTGCTGATCAGTGTGGACGCCTGCTTCCTTCCAGGGCGATATCGCAGACAAAGATGAATATCAAGTGCATATCGGTCATTTAAATTAAATTGAATACTTATCGACTCAACTAACCACACTGACTGTTTATGGTTAAATATAATAGGCTACACACATTTTGAAACTAAAAAATGTGATCACACAACTCTTGTTTTATATAATTTACACTGGCTATCTGTTAAACATCGGGGGGTTGGATGGCCGAATGGTTAGCAAGCGCGCGCTGTATCATACGGTCTGTCATTGAGTCAATTGGCGGGGTTTCGATTCCCCGGTTGTACGTGACAAGGAGTAGTGTCGCCTGTCCAACCTCGTGGGTTTTCTCCGGGTCCTCCGGTTTCCTCCCACAGCTAAAGACCCCTACGCGCAAGCGAATTATTGAAATAAAATTGAACCATGTTTTAGTCCCGAAATGACCTAGTTTATGTCGAATGGACGTTAAACCCCATTTCTCTCTCTCTCTCTCTCTCTCTCTCTCTCTCTCGCTTCTCTCTCTCTCTCTCTCTCTCTCTCTGTGTTAAACATCGAATTGATTTTAAGATGTTATCACTTATCCACGGTCCTGTGAGTGTGTGTAGATTATTATTATCATAAGTTTCCAGTATTAAAGATTTGAAGAACCATTCCAGACTCTTGTAATATCTGACGGACCTCACGGTCACATATCTATCAATTGACGGTACAGATACCTTGATTTGTTCGCTATTCACTTCTCGTTGTTTAGATTCGTCGTATTCTTTGATTTTTGTTATTCCATGTGAAACCTTGTATAAATTACAAAACAAAATCTTAAAATATTTGGCAGCTCGGTTTATAACTGATGCATCATATAAATAACCCTAGTCTATTGTAATTACACTGGCTACAAATAAGGGTTTTGGAATTGAAGATGCATTATATAAGAGCTAAATCTGACTAATGCAGATTTTTTGTTTGATTTCTAATGTTATATACACCATTAATTAGACATTTATCTACATGTCAGGCCCACAATCAACGCTCTAGATCATCGGATACTTATGATTTTCAACGGATTTTAACACGATTGTTAGTTAATGATTTAATTAAAAATGGATAATCGAGAGTTTGTTTATTATCGTGACAACGGTAGCAATGACAATCGAGACTATACTCCGCTCAGAATGAAGTAATTTTACTGAAATTTTCAACATATTCCCTTTACATTATCTATATTTATAACTAGTTAAGCGAGAACTGTCGGCTCTTTATGTAAATCTTACATAATGTATCTTTAAATAATTAAATTTTATTTGTATGAATTATTGTATATTTATGATGATTCGGGGATTTAATTTGGATTACATTTTAATTGTATGAATTATTGTATATTTATAATGATTCGGGGATTTAATAATGGTTAAAGGATTAAATTGTATTGATATTATAACCGTGCAGGTTATAGTAGTTATATGTTATAATTTAAATCTTGAATATTTAAGATAATATATTATTCATTTTAAAAGTGAAAGCCTTCAAATTGAATTTATTTAAACTCTCGCAACAATAACTATTTTATTCCTTTAAAACATTAATTGTATGTGTGCTATTAAAAGGTGACTAGCCAAGGGTGAAATGTTATGTAATCCTAATGACATGTTAATTTATTATAATCCCTTATTGTTTATAAAATACTGTTATAGATAGAAAGTAACTGACCATATGGCCTGTCTGGTGAACATGTCAATCGTATGATTAATCTATTAATTGTTTTATTTACCATTGTTTTATTTCATATATTGTACATTATTACATCAATGCTTATTTATGTCAACACTTGATCTAGCCAAGTGATTAGTAATTCCATATAAATATGTGATTGTACTTGATACGTCAGTCATTTAGGTCTATCCGACTTAGTAGCATAAGGTACTAGTCGGTTATCCGCGGTCCTGTAAGTGTATGTAGATAATTATTATTATAAGTTTCCAGTATTAAAGATTTGAAGAACCATTCCAAACTCTTGTAATATCTGACGGACCTCACGGTCACAATATGAATTATTGTATATTTATAATGATTCGGGGATTTAATAATGGTTAAAGGATTAAATTGTATTGATATGAATTATTGTATATTTATGATAATTCGGGGATTTAATATGGATTAAGTTTTATTTTTATCAGTTATTGTATGTTTATTGTGATTCGGGGATTATATATGAATTAAATTTTATTTATATGAATTATTGTATATTGTATTTCCCTACATTGTTTATAACAACCGGATCCATTCCTAATTATTCAGGGCGGGGAGAATACAGGTTTAAAGAAGCTAGGCTTTACTATGTGTCCAACCTTTACCGCATGCATTAAATTGTTAATCTTCCAATTTTAGGTACTCCTGTAGCATCAGTTCTTCGTAGTCTCTGGCTCTTTGACTGTCCTGACTTGTTGCTGGTGATATGGTTGACAAATGAAATGAAATAGGGTTTTACGTTGTTCTGCGCTAACTGGGCTACAGATGACGGGCATACGTAATACATTGTGTTATAAGGGAAATTTTGCCCGGACGAAGACCTTTCGGACTAGAAAATCTCCCTTAGACTTTGTTTATGATAATGTAAAAGACCGGATAATCTAGCCAATGACCTATTATTCTTAAATGTTGACAACGCACCCAGACTAAAATTTGTAGAATATTTTTCTAACCGTGCGTCCTGCGCGACTGGCAAGAAGGGGCCACTCTGGACAATCACTGGTTTGTCATCGTTATTGACCGGACTCCATATTATGCATTGTTCGCAATTTATCTTTCTAAAGTAGCACTCGACCGCAATCGGATTAAAACACAGATCATATGTCGTTTCGGTTTTTTTTTTAGTTCAAAATTTCTTTCTACTTGTCTTTACTGTAATGAAATGAAATGAAATGGGGTTTAACGTCCTACTGTTCTGCTCCTAACCTGGGCTAATGAAGATGGGCATATGCCATACAGTGTGCTATGAGGGAAATCTTGCCCGGGCAGCGGTGCTACGGCCTACTCTTATATAGAATTCCAACTGCCAAGTGATCTTTTACGTGCACGCCAATTTGTACACGGGACCTCGGTTTTTCGTCCCATCCGAACGACTAGACAGCTGTCCTTGCCAGGCCCTCTGCCCTGCATCACTGACAAGGGGAAACCACGCCGGAAAATCTGGATGAACTTTCTCGGCCAATGCAGGGATCGAACACCCGACCACCATTCTAGCGAGCCAGCGTCTTGTCCACTTAGCCACGTGATCACCCACTTGTCTTTACTAAACTAGGGTCTGGAAAGTTAAATATATTTGTTAAGGCCTGCTCAATTTTCGTCATGGTTGCTGAGATGTAAATAAGGTTAGGGCCCGTGATTGTTTTCGAGATTGTAGGTTAGGGCTAGGGTAGGTCTATGCATAAGGCTGGGTCAAGGGTTGGGGTTAGGGTTGGGATATCGCTAGCCCTGTTTACATCTCTTGGAAGTCTTACCGATCTGGAAGAGTTATTATATAACCCGCATTCTGGTTGATGCCAGGGATTAGCCAATGAAACGGTCTGATGCGGTGAGTTCTTGACGTGCGGTGCACGGAACTGTGGATATCCCACTAGAAACATCAATGCTGATAGGCTAAGCAAATGTCTGATGTCACGGGGTCAAAAGCCGCTCGTATGACCCCTGACGCGACCTACTGGTTAGTGCTAAACCTAACCCTAAGCCTTATCCTAACCCACATTCCTCGGTAACAATCACATGCCCAAATGTTTACATTTCTGACCCTACCTTTATTGTCGTCGCCCTCGATTAACTTTATCCGGAATGAAATTGGAGGACCCGGAGAAACGAAACCACGCCACTTGACTCAATGACCGACCTGTGTAACCTATCGCGCATACTTTAAACCACTCGCCCCCTGCGTCTATCTCTCTCTCTCTCTCTCTTCTCTCTCTCTCTTCCCTGGTTTGTTGTGCAGGTTGGAGGACCTAGCAAGGAACAGCTTGTACAGTCGTTCGGCTAGGACGAAAAATCGACGTCCTGTGTACTCTTGATAATTGGAATAAAAGGAGTAATGCACGTTAAAGACTACTTGATAGATGGAATTGGAGGAAGAGTAGGTAACTGGCCGTCTGAAAAGTAAGACGTTAAAACCCATTCCATTTCCCATTGACCTGGCGGATTGTTGTTTGTTTTTTTTCAATTATACTCCTAGATCCTTTAGGTCATACTTTAGACTGGTAAGTGGTACACTGAAAAAAAACTTGTGTTGGATCTCAACACAAGTACTTGTGTGAAAATTATTCTACACAAGTTATGTGTTGTTTTGCATTGCATTAACACAAACTTGTGTTCTTTTTAATGCATTAACACAAATCTTGTGGGTTTTTTTCATATAATTAACACAAGTAATGTGTACCGTCAACAAATATTTTTTTTTTAAATTTGAACTCCATACAAAGTCTTAATCCGGGGGTCCTCAAGTAAGAGAAAGGTATTTTTTACTCAGACAATATAGCCAGACAGACTTGAATGCTAACTGGCGTTAAGATGTCTGTAGTTAAAATAAAGTTGGGCCCAATAAACTGGTAGATCAAAGGCCTGTTGAGCGCTCATGCCCGGTGTGATTTTAACAATTGACTCCAAATGCGTTGACAAGAAAATAAGTAAAACTGTTATTGAATGTGATTGGTTGATAAAATCAACGTACTATAGGCTACATTTTGTCTGCGATATCATCTCGGTGGAAGCGGACATTAAATGAAGTGATTTCACACAATTAATTTAACATTTAACAACGTGCTGAAATGATTTTGGAGCAGTGATATGTTTGACAAATGTAAGCTAATGGTGACATAGAATACAAGACCGCAGGTTTGTGAATATTTATATAAAAAAAATAATACCATGTATGTAATTTAGCATCGATATTGTTTCTCTGTATAATATTAGTATTTCGTTTCCTTAAAAAAAAACTCCAACAATTTAAACCGGAAGTTTATGTTTATAATATGGCGCGGTCAGGAAAAAAATTTCGGCATGTTATTATCAAATCTGTTCAATTTTTCTGAAATCATGCTTAATTAACATTAGTTGTTCGGCGCTACGATGTTGTTCAAATACTTACATTACAGAATCACATTATGATTAAAGCAGAAACGGTTCGACTTGAACCAGCAGGTAAGAATCTGTTTTGAAATTATATCTTGGGAGGTTGGATTGGCGTTGGAGACCCGATTGGCGGCCATTTTGATTCTTGTTTCATGATTTTTTTTATATTATAACGATTTTGCCAAGAGTAGACATAAACGCGGGCACAGACTAGAAAAAAATCTTTTTACACTTTTGTGTTAGTTGAATTGTAATCTAATTTATGTTTAAAAAAACAACTTTAAATCTAATAAGCAGACGGAAGATATGGACGAACAACAAGAAGAAGTTATGGAGGTCCCAACAACTGAACCTATGGAAGTAGAAGAATCGTTTACAGCCGAAACCCGATACGATGTGCCAGTTCCGGTTATGGAGTCCTCCATCTCAGACGATGCCGACGTTAGTGTCTTCTGCGACGAAGAACCCGTAGTGGTGTATCACTAAAAACCTCAGAATGCCTCGTTCGGCATTTCTGTCCAAACGAGGCAAAAACGTGTCAAAATTTTTGCCCCGATTTTGCCTCGTTGTAACGAGGTAAAAAAAAATACCTCGTTTCTCTGGAGTTCCAAAACGTGTTTTTTTTTAAATTGCCCTGTTTTTGGAACGAGGTATTTTGTTCAGAACGAGGCTGGGTAAAATTGCCTCGTTTACTAAACGAGGTATTTTATCCAAGATAATTATTAGCGGTATTTGCTGTCAACAAATAGAGCCATACAAATAATGTTCGGACCATCATGTGACCAATTGCAGATCTACAAATTAGATTATTTATTTGGGACATGATATTCTTCATAGTTATGGCTTACTACACTGGAGTTCTATTATGTATAATAAACGCTTCCCGAGCGAAACAAAACATAACAATGTCACGTGACAATATTACATATGGCGGATAAAAGCGTTCTTTGATTACATGCTGTTTGGTTTGATTATTAAATAATACGGCAATCTGTATATATGGGAAAAGGAGAATGAATTTCCCCAAATCCAAAACTAGATGACTGGAATATTTATTGAATGGAAAGTAAATATTTTATAAACAAAAATATTCGGATTTGCAGTATCCTAGCTTGGATGGATTTGTGATTTGAATCTCGAACTCAGTGTTTTATACATTTTATTATAAAATTGTATTATAATGTTTTACATGAATGAAAAAAATCTACAATTTAAAACAGTACAATAACATTGTGATTTGACGCTCTACAAATCACTAAGAGTATAACAATTGCTTGTTGAAAAAGCGTTAATAATATGTTTTTTTCCATTTATTATTTTTTAAAAATATATTCAAAAAGAATGCGTCTTTTACAGATTTCAATATAACCACAAATGGTTGATTGTTTTAATGCTAAGATAAGTATTAATGGTTTGTATTTGAAAATCAAATTATATAAGCGAAAAATAGTAAGATACATTATGTATATCTTAAAACACGCCCTTCTCAGTTACTACTTCGGCGAATATCATTTGATAATTTAGATGATCAGAATTAAACACCGTTTTGCTATGTTATTATTTTTTTATGATTGGGTGGGGGTATACTTAATTAGGGGATTGGATTGAAAGATTATAGCTACCATCTTAAGGAGACATAATGTGTGGTGCATTTACGGTCTTATAAAGCTCTATTCTTACATAAAGAATTCTTGATTCGCACGGAAGTGTTTTAGCCGTGATCATTTTAAGTCATGCTTATGCCAAGATCTGGGTAAGTGTTAATTTAACTAGATATCAGAAAAGTACCACGTTTTCATAAATGTACTCTTTAGATAAATTGTACAATATTTATCAGTTCACTAGTTACAATAAAATCATGCATTATAGCTATTTTTATTTATTTATCCCTGGTGCTTCAAATTCAATTTAGGGTGCCTCAACATATTTAAAAATATGTTTTAAAGCTTTAGGTCATTTTATTATATCTTTCTACCATATATAATGCCCGAATTTAGGTATACCAAAAGTTAAAGAAATTGTCACCAACACACATGTCGTGTTTAGGCTAAAATCTAACCAGAAAAGTATTGTCAATACATAATAAAATATATATTGCATTAATCAATTCCATTCCGCAAT